GGTTTATGTATGAATCTCTTTTTTTTTATTATTATGATGTGTTCCTTAGAGAAAAAGGAATATAATTATCTTTAAAATTTATGTATTTTATTACTCCTAATTAATCTCAGACCTTGAAAATTTATGTGATTTTATAGTTACAAGGTTTTTTTTCCTAATTATTTGCAGGAAGGCAATAGAAAATGTGGTTAATTTAAATTTTTCTTTTATCCTCAGGGCCCTGGAAACATGAATGGAAGCTATTCATTGGGAACGTGCTCTTGCTACTTTAAATGACTTTGGGCTTTCTCTTCCTTGATTTCCATTCTATACTCATTTATTACCATTTCAGTTGAATTTTAGGTAAACTAACTACCATATAAATGTACTGTTTATAGAATATCAGAAGATTCATCTTTGTGATGCCAAAATGAAAAGTTGATGAAGCCAGTCCCATTGTATATATGTTCATATTACAGTGATTGAATGTAGATTTAAAAGTTAACTTCACATTTTAATTTGTATGATAAAAGGGTTTCATCCTTTCTGGTGTTAAGAGTTCTCTAGTTCTTTGTAACTATTTAAAAAGAAATAGCTACTTTCTTCAATAATAATTGGAAAGAAAGTATGATTGTTGGTATATAAATATAGCAGAGATAGTTTTGTACAAAGATATTTTAGTCCTTAAAGTATGAAACTTAATGAAACTGTAAAATCTTTATTTTTCATTTTTTGCTTCAGATTTTCAATAAACAAAGCTCTAAAAGGTAATTTTCTCCTTTTGATAAAAAGTTAAGCTTCACTTTTAACTATTGAAAAGGTTCCCAGTGTTATTCTATGATGTTATATCAAAATAAAGTTTACATTTGATTGGGAAAGCTGTGTTCTTTAAGATAATGTAAAACAATTATCAAATTAGTAAAATGAATCTGGTTGCTGATAAATGTTTTATCTGCTCATTGACTATTAGTAATTATATCAAAAAAGGGCTTAATCTTTTATTTCTAAACTTAAAATTAAACCTCGGACTGTGTTAATTCTAATTGAGGTTTCCATAGTTTTATTTTAAAGTGAAATGCAAGCAAGCAGAGTGTTATCAAATAAACATTGGAGTTATGGAAGTGTATTTTGTAAATTGCTATTGGTTAATAAAATTAATGGTATTAATTACTTTCTTTAAAATTTATAAAATTCTCAAAACTGCACATATAAGTGAATACTTTGTTTCTCTTATCAAGGTACATTTATCATTTTCTGATTGACCATAATATATCTTGGGGCATCTCATTTATAAAAATATTTGTTGGATACTTGGTTGGTAGAAAGATGAGGAAGTTGGACTTTTCAGAAAAATATACTTGACCAGGAAAAGTGAAATGGAGGTGGGGGATTTTTTTTGTGTGTGTGTGTGTGTGTGTGTGTGTGTGTGTGTGTGTGTGGTCTTTTTTAGCATATATAAGATGTAATCTCATTCTTAAAGTCAGAGGTATATTAAATGCCAACATGTTCTCTAAACAGGTCCCAGTATGATATTGCAGAGAAATGCCACCTGGCTTAGCTAAACCTTTGCAAATTCAAGAGTCCCTATAGTAGTTTTCTGTGTTAGGCTACATATGTAGCACCCTTTCCTGTGGATTAGAATTGTGTGTGTGTGTTTTAAAAGTTTCCAACTTAACAGTTGTAAGAATCTGAATTCCTACATATTTTTTGTCTAGATTCACCAAGTGTTAAGATTTTGCAACATTTCACTGTACCACTCTTTTTATAGTACTAGAGGACCAGTGCACGAAATTCATGCACAGGTGGGGTCCTAAGGCCTGACCGGCTATCAGAGTTGACCGAGGCCTTCCTTCATTCTGCACTGCCCCCTGGTGGTCAGCGCACATCATAGTGAGCAATAGAACTCCCAATCTCCCGATCCAACTCCCACAGGGACACTTTGCATATTAGTCTTTTATACATATAGACTAGAGGCCCGGTGCACAAAAATTTGTGCACTCGGGGGGGATGGGGGGCTCGGCAG